GAGGTATTGATCATCACGACCCCATCACTCTTCATTGTGATAATAAAGCTGCGTTGCATATTAGCTCTAATCCGGTCTTTCACGAAAGAACGAAGCATAAGAGCTCGAGTGCCATCTGATACGAGATTACATATTGAATGGAATGATCAAAGCGTCATACATTCCTACGAAAGAGCAGTTGGCGGATATTCTAACCAAGGCTTTGAGTCGCAAGGAATTTGATTCATTTCATCTTAAGCTGGGCATTCAAAATTTGCACGCTCCATCTTGACGGGGGTATTAAGGAAATATTGACCAAACGATATTTACATTTATCACATATGTATATTTTCCATATCTTCGAGATCTCTTCCTTCTTCTTCAAGGAACTCTCTTGTATAACTAGCGATCTCTTTGTTAATGAATAACACAAGTCAATACTATCAATATTCATCTCTTGTCATCATACAAGTCCACCAACAGCTGCTCATCTACATCACGGTACCTTAAACAACAAAAATAAACTATTACAGAACATAAAAATATATGAGTATGAATAACAGAAATATTGGAAATTTCGTATGCCCATGAAACGAATTACACTTTTTGTAAAATATGAAGAGGTGATTTGGAAATATCAAAGCTCGTAACTCTATGTTTGAAATCATCGGAGAAAGGGGCTGCTGGTTCTTATGCAGAACGAAGAGGAAAAGGAAGGAGAAGAACTTACGGACAATCCTCGAAACCCATTTCTGCTCCGTTTCCAGAAATCGATTGGAGAGAAATAGAATTTGGAATGCTGCTGCTGATCTTCGAGTGGACGGGAGGAGGAAGGAAGAAAGGAATTCAATTCAACTAAAGATTAATAGTTAAGGTCTAGGCACGTCGGAGTGTGCATTTACTATTTACTTGGTGGGGTTGTGTCATTGGGCTGGGAGGTATCTTTGTAAAGAACTACATTCTGATCTGCAGCCAGAGAAGCTGTCCACGTCCTCTATGTAAATCAACTAATAGGGTTGTTCTATTCTGCCACGTCATTAGTGCTACCTGGGTTATCCGATTGGGCTTAATTTTTTTTGGACCTGGACATGTTTTGTTGCGAGTCCATTATTGATCATTAGGTGAAGCTGTCTCTCCTCTCTTTGCCTCTCTTCCTCTCCCGATTCCTCTTCTTCCTATCTCTTTGTCTCCTCTCTTTGAAAATTGGCTCTCTCTCGTCGGACTTCTCTCTCTCTCTCTCCTCTCTCTCTCTCTCTCTCCTCTCTCTCTCTCTGTTTCTGTGTGTGTATGAGTTTTGATTCAGATTTGTGTTGTTCTTGGTGGAGGAGGGTGGAGAAGAAGCTTGACGGAGGAGGCTCCTCAGCATGACTTCTCTGGCGTCTCTTACACCGTTGAGAAGCTTTCTACGAACCTGCACTTGTAAAGACTGCTCTTTTCTTATTCAAGGTACTTCTTTTCTTTTTCTAAGGTTGGTTTTTATTCATGTTTAGNGTTTTGATTCAGATTTGTGTTGTTCTTGGTGGAGGAGGGTGGAGAAGAAGCTTGACGGAGGAGGCTCCTCAGCATGACTTCTCTGGCGTCTCTTACACCGTTGAGAAGCTTTCTACGAACCTGCACTTGTAAAGACTGCTCTTTTCTTATTCAAGGTACTTCTTTTCTTTTTCTAAGGTTGGTTTTTATTCATGTTTAGAGGAATCAAAACTCACACACACACACATAACACAGAATGTCCATTTAAAAATATATTTACCCAAACTTACCAGTACTCTTGCTTAAATTATCTAATCTGTTTCATTCTGCAGAATTCTGTGATCCATGGTTCATCCCCGCTGATCGGTTTGAAGTTACACGGTGAACTAACATGTACAAGATTAGTGATCATCCATTCGTCTACTGTTTCATCTCAGCAACAACTATTAATGAAGTCCAAACAGGTACTCATGTGATCAGCCTCCAGAAATTTATGACTTTTATGAGTAGGCAGTTCAATCATTTCCAAGTTCTTGCGAACTAAAACCTATAACTCCCAAGTATATTATCATATTGCAATTGGATTTATATTATTGTCTCGAATTGTAACGCAGTTTCAACTTCTAGATGTTGTTGATCAAATATGTTTCGTCGAGGGCTCTAACCTCAGCAACGTTGCATCGACAACTTGAGTTGTGGTCCGTCTCCTCACTGACCCATAAGCAAACCATTCAAAACACTTTTTTCGTTTTACTCTCTATAAGCTGCTTATGTTGATCTCTTAATTTTGTTCCCCCAGAAAAGAATGTTAAGTGATATACCTTTTGGTATATTATAAATTTATCAGAGTTACTGATGGCAACATCAACGGCGAGATCAACCAGTAAGCCCCTACTTCTCTCTTCTTCAGCGATGATGTTACTGGTTTAGCTATACTAAATAATAATAAAAAATTCTGGGAGTGAGAGCACAACGAAAGATGGCTCTCTAATTGATTTGGAGCTCTTTCTTATTGATGAACATGCATGAACTCAGCTTACTATGACGACAGGGTTGTGTAAGTTGGAAATCTAAATTTTCAAAGCTTTGTGGCCTTTACAGATGAAGAATACTCATCTTTTGTTAGATTTTAAGATTTGTAAATTTGTATAGTTCCAGATGACTGATATCCTTTTGTTAAAATATCTACTATGTTGTTTTTTTACACCTAAATTGAACTGATATCTTTTTAGTTTAAATCTTTCCTCGTGAACCGAGCTGGCCATTCACTTAGATCATCGAGTGAAGAGTGGAGAGTGAAGAGTTAAGATTGAAACAAGAATGAATAAAAAAGAGATATATGGGCTAAGAAGAGATGGAAGAATCAGAGGGGCAGAAGTTGATGTTGATGCCTTCTTTGTCCTTAAACCAAAGGTATCTGTGTGTACAGATTAACAATAGATCCGCATGGATTATGTAGACCATTTTTAAATAAGAACCACAACATGTAATAAATTGGTATGTATTCTATATCTCCACATGTATTTAGATTTAGAATATGTGTTCACAGAACTAATAATGAATGATGATGAAAACTATGTGGCACTGGAGATTCAAATTGATGACATCGACAGTGGCGTCTCCACTATTGAGTCTACCACTTTCTTTCAAGTTCATAGGATGGACTGCTGGAATATCGTGTTTGGTGTGAGGAGCAGCTGTCATTTTTTATTCATATACAACATTTAATTAATCTTGCCTAGATTAATTCGTGGTATTTAAAAGCCATCATATAGATATTCGAAAGTCCATGCCTCCTCTCTCCTCGACATGATCTTTGAATACATGGAAGATGACTTCTTGAGACTCTTCATTACTGCACCGAGTTCCCATAGCCTCATCAGGTACCGTTTCATTGCTACTACTCTAAAGAATTTTGGCCACCATCAGTCACATCTCTCTTTTCTCTTCTTCTCTTTCAATTTAAATGCTACATAACGCAGCTATTACAGGGCTTGATGAGTGTCCAACTAATCATGTTGTAACTCTATGGTACGATCTCCTGAGCTCTTGCTTGGAGCTTCTAGATCTTGTTGTATAAGACTGTGCTCGCAATAGGCCCATATTTTTTGAGGTACTGAAGCTACTTCCCTCAGTAGCAAGGGGCATACTTGGATTTCGATAATATCCTCTGTAAATCAAATTGAAAGCGGCCATTACCCAAGTTCACTCCGTGCACTCTATCCTCCACATTCCAGATATGATCTCTCGGGAGAAGGGCTATCATCGCTTCAACACTACGTCCCCCAGTATGCAAAACTCTTCCGATTAGAGTTCTCTTGAAATGATCTCATCCTCCACTTCCCGATCTTGCAGGGAAGATAAAACTCCTTTACGAATTAGGCCTGACTGTAAACTCATGGTTTCAAGTTGAGCGTTTCCACAAAATCTTAGCACAAAGCTTTAAAGAACAAAGAGATAGCTCTTGACGTCGATCTGTTATCATAACTTGAGAAGATAATTGTTTTTGTTTGTTTTATATTGTCTGTAACCTTATAGTACCACCAAGAAGTGTAAGAGTATTCTTCCTTGCGTAGTAGATAAAGTTCCATGGTTTTTGCAGAACTAGACTTTCTAGACAAAGACAATATATTATTGATTTTGACCAAACTATGAACAAGTTTTCAGCATTGAAAATATACGTTTTTGAGTTAACTAAAATTAAATAAAATAAAAATTTGCCTATATACGTAAAAAAAAAAAAAAACTCCAAATTCGCTACTCCCTCTATTTCAAAAAGTTAAATATTATAGTTTTTTTTTACATATATTAAGAAAAACTATAAATTTTTGATTACCAATGCATTATTTATTATAGATAACAATTCTCTATAGTTTTTAACTAATAAAATTTTAAGAAACACAATTTATTTTTTGAATCTACAATTTTTCACTAAATTATACATTGAAAATATAAAAAAACATATTTTTTGAAAGAAATATTTTTTTCTAAAATGTTAATCTTTTTGAAACGCAAGGAGTATCTATTATCTATCCAAAAACATTTTCTCTTTTGTTTTGGTTATTTCAAAAATAACCCCATTAATTAATAACGCTTTGTTTTATTTTTCTCCTTCCTCAAAAAAGCATCCACCTTTTGATTAAAAGTCTGTCACTTCCAATGAAGACCATACGGTCAGTTAAAATAGAGTAAAGATCCATCAAAGCATATAAGAAAAACCGGAATAAAAACAGGCCTAAGAAATAAGAAGAGTTCAAACTAAGACAATGAGGATTCAGACAAAAGATAAACACAATACTTAGGATATGTGAGAAAAATAGTGTTCAAAAAAAAATTAAAAAAAAAATAAATAAAAGAAAAATAGTGTTCACAATCCGACTCATGTGACAACAGACAGATAGAACTAGGACGAACGACCAAAGTTTTGTTTCATGCATGCGTTAGTAAGACTAACTGGAAAAGGTGACCTTGATCTTGCACTTGGAAGAAGCTCTAGGAATCATTAACTTTTCCTTGTCCACGCCCTGTCTTAGGCGTGAATGAAGTTTCACCTACTTGAGACACGCCAGTTTCTCAATAAAATGCTCCAATTGCTCCACCTCCCCATTTGTTCCACGGTAGTTGGTTATGTGTAGGACCTTTACAGGAGACGACAATAAGAAAGAATATCCCAACAAGCATTTGCAAACAGATTCAGGTTGTTCTTCATCGTAGTGCAATTGACCCTGAAGTATGAGGGACAATAAGAAAAAGAAAATTAACGAAGTAAGGCAGTTATTGACCAATAAGATTTTAGGGTTTTGGTCATACATGGATGACAAGAGTCTCTAGATTTGGAGATTTGTTTAGCAAAAATGGTAGAAATTCCATACAAGCCTCCTCCTCATCATGACACGTAATGGTTAAATGATATAGGTTTTCAAACACCGGGATTGATTCACGGAAGTAATACAATGCCTGAAACCAAATAAATAAGAATGTATTTTGAACACGAGAGAGAGAAAGAAAATATTCTTTCTAGAGTCTCTCCCCTAACCTTCAGCAAAACCTAGCGCCGCCGTCAATTTTTTCAGATCTGATGGAGGAGTCTCGACGGTAAGCTTTCCGTGCGGGTCTCCTTCGCCACCCCCTTCCTTTCTCTGTTCTCCGCCTCAACCCCAAGCCGTCCCCTTCTTGTCTCTCCTCCTTGCGCGGTGTTCTGGGTTCTTTGACTTCCACCGGAACTTTCAGAAATCAGAGGCGTCTTTGGCTTCTATGGAATTCCGGCGAAGAGAAATAAGAAAGACGACTCTTGGGCGGCCTTGGATCTAACCTATAGCCTCCAACTGCACTCGTTCTGGGTCAGATCTGAGATCCGAGACATGCCGGAAACTATGACAAGTAGCTACTGTCGCTGTTCTCCTGCCTTGCCGTCTCGCCCCGGTTGGTCTCCGCTATGGGTAAGCTTCAGGGTTTGTTTGTAGAGCTTCTCCTCTCAGTCTCTGGGTGAAGGGTGGTTATGAGGCAAATCACCGAGGACCTCTGTTTGTTTAGATCAAATGACAACAACCATGGCTTCCTTAGGTGGTTCATTGGCTCCTCCTTCTTGCTACCGACATCGATTACTAGGGTTTTGAGAACAACCCGGTGTAGAGATTCTTTTGCATCAAGGTGGAGCTGTCTATCGCCTGTTCGGTTGCATGTTTTCAAGGAGCTTTAAATCTCCTTCCGTGCTTCACTCCCTTGTGTTCAAAGATCCGTCAGGTTGACTTAGTGTTCCCTCGTGGTCTCTGCTGCATCTTTTGTCGCGTGGGCGGTTTGTGGAGCCTGTTGTACCGCCTACGCTTGACCGTAACTCGGGCTTCCTTGCAAGCATTCCGTGGGTTTGAAATTTTGTCTCCAGTCGAGATAGCTAAGGATTTGTTTGTTGACGTCCTCCTCCAGCGGAGCTCCGGAGCGTAGGCCAGGCGCCTCCGTCGATGCTTGCTTGGAGCCACTTCGGTGAGTTCTCGACTGAACTTCCCCTTGGCTATACTCTCGCTTCTCTGGTTGTCTCCAATTTAGCAAGAAGCGCTTTGGTTAGGGTATTTAAATTGTTGTGCTACTGATCTGATTGTCTTATTAGCTTCAAGTTTTCTCTTGTTAGAAGCCTTGGACTAATACCTTAGTTCTTTGAGGTTTTTTAAAAAACTTTTTGCAGCCTCATAGATGCCAGAATGGCTGTGTAAGCAGATTGTGGATACAATTCACTTTGTAACCAAACCTTCATTTTCATTAATGATATTTACAACTTAGCAAAAAAAAAAAAGAATGTATTTTGAAATGCCAAACTCAAAATGTAACAAGATGTCACAGAGAAATAAAAAAATCCAACAAAGCACTTACCTCAAAAGTATATTGAAATGATATGTCCATGATTTCAACATTTCCCAGCCTCTTTATCAGATTTTTTGGATTGCTTAAACAATTGTCGAAATCATGATTTGCAAATCCATCGTAGAGTTTGTGGTAGTGATCGTCAGTCAACATAAGGTGAAGTTTAGCTTCAACAAGGGAGTCAAGATTCACAACTGAATACTCATCCGGAATAGCCTCAGAGCACTCTAAATAGGTAAGACTTGGAGTATCTAAAGTAACTCTCGTAAACTGAGAAGGATGGAAATCTCGAATAATTAGTCTTTGAAGGGTTGGACTGCACAATTTGCCAGACCATTTCCGACGCTGCCACCTCATACCTCTATGGCCAGTTCCTTAAGTAGAGGGGAAGCAGAAAGAAGTTTTTTAAAGGCACAACCACAAAGATCGCTGAACTGAATGACACTAAGAGTGAGAGTCTCAAGTGCGGGTAGAAAAGCATTCTCAGGGTGAAGATCGACAACAAAATCCTTCCCATAAAAAAAACCAGCTGCATAACTACCATCCAGTTCCACTTTAACAATTGTCTTGCAAGTTAAAATCTCATCGGGCAGATAATAATGTTTCCCGATACCTATGTCCAGTTTAAGATCCAAGACACCCCGCTTCAGCACATCACATAAGACAACGGTTTATATGATCATATCGAGCTGGATCAACACGATCTCTGCATCTTTGGTAGAGCTTCCTCACACGAGTAGAGGACGGTAGAGCAATTTCTCCATCCACGAAATCAGAGAAACTGGCTTGAGTCTCGTCTGTGTCATCAAACTGAAGCTCTGGAATGATGGTAAAGAGATTTTGCCACTTTTTTGAGAGAATAGATGTAAAAACAGCGTCCTTTGCAGAAAGAAATGAGACAATGTGTCAGATAACCTCATCTGGTAGATTACTAATCCTATCCATCCTGTTTTGCTAATGATTCCTTTCAGTAACTAAACACTAACTGACAAATTCTAGTTTGGGATCAAAAGTAAGTTGCGTTTTATTGATAAACAAGCTTGGTATTTATACTAAGAGAAGTCAAACCAGAATAGGAAAACATAAAGCTAATGATAAATAGGAAAAAGGAATCGTAGAACTTATCCTAAAGCTAAATTAACTTATTTGTATGTTTCCTAAATTATATAGGAACCATACTCCAATACCCCCCCTCAAGTTGGAGCATGAATGTTATTGATGCCTAACTTGAGAAGAAATGCATCAAATTCTTTGCGTCCCAAAGCTTTGGTGAGAATATCGGCGAGCTGATCACGAGTAGAAACATGAGTTACTGTGATGACACCTTTAGTAATCTCATCGCGAACAAACTGACATATCATACCCATATGCTTTGTTTTTTCATTTAGAACCGGATTAGCACTAATATGTAATGCTGATTTGTTGTCACAGCAAACCTTCATAGGAGCACTATGATCAATACCCAGTTCACGTAATAGTTCTTTTATCCAAATAAGCTCTTTCGTAAGTGCTGTCATAGCACGGAACTCGGCTTCTGTAGAGGAAAGGGAGACCGAATCTTGTTTCTTGATTTTCCACGTGATAGGCGAAGTCCCAAACTGAACAATCCAACCGGAGAGCGAGCGACGAGAAGTAGGACATGGACCCCCAATCGGCATCACACCAGCCGGTTATGAAAAACGTTGTGTTGGCCCTGAAAAGAACACCCTGCCCTACCGTGCCTTTCAAGTAACGTACGGTTTTTAAAGCAGCAAGCCAGTGTTCTTCTCTTGGCTGTTGCATAAACTGAGAAAGTATGTGTACTGAATAAGCGAGATCAGGTCGAGTTGCGAGAAGATAGATGAGACGACCAGTAAGACGTCGATACCGTTCCGGATCAACAAGAACAGCTCCGTCTGCTCGTGCTAGCTGATGGTTTTGATCCATAGGTGATCCAGCAGGTTTACAACCAAGAAGACCGCACTTCGTGATGATTTCTAATGTATATTTTCGCTGACAGAGATAGATGCCATCAGGACTCCTAGCTACTTCCAAACCGAGAAAATATTTAAGAGATCCAAGATCTTTCATGTGAAAGCATGTTGAAAGATATGCTTTAAAGGAGGTGATTGCTGAGTTTGAATTTCCTGAGATAATGAGATCGTCGACGTACACAAGAATCCGGAGTGTGGTATCTTCCTTGGAGTAGACGAATAGAGAGTAATCAGAATGCGTTTGTGTAAACCCATACGCAATAAGGGCCTCAACAAGCTTTGCAAACCAACATCGTGGAGCTTGTTTCAAGCCATATAGAGATTTTCGCAGACGACATACTCTTGTATCATTGGGTTTAGAAAAACCAAGTGGTACTTTGATATACACTTCTTCGTGAAGATCTCCATAAAGAAAAGCGTTATGCACGTCCATTTGGTGAATTGCATGCTTTTTCTTGGCAGCAATATCAAGGAAGACACGTACAGTCGTCATCTTGGCAACCGGCGAGAAAGTTTCAGTGTAATCTAACCCCTCTTTCTGATTGTTTCCCAAGACAACCAAGCGAGACTTGTATCGTCCAACTGTCCCATCTGATAGTAATTTGATCGTGTATACCCACTTAGTTCCTAGAGCCTTCTTGTTAGTTGGTAACTCGACAAGATCCCATGTATGTTGTATGTCTAAAGCATCGATCTCAGACTGCATTGATTCTCACCATACTTTATATTTCATTGCTTGTCGAAAGTGTTTGGGCTCAACATTGGTAGTCAAGGAAATAAGGTAACTGCAATGTTTAGAAGAAATACGATCGTATGATAGATAGTTTGATAATGGAAACAGCGAACCTGAGGAAAGCTGAGGTGTGGAAGATGGGAGAGAGGGAGTGAGAGTAGGGATTGTAGTAACCGTGTTAATAACATAATCCCGGTAACGTGTAGATGGAACACGCGATCTGTGACCTCGTCCCAAAGGTTCTTGTTCCTGTTCGGCGAGCACAGGCTCAGTGGCGTCATGCTCTGTTTCGACCTGGTCTGTTTCAGACAGTGTCTCATCTTCGGGTGATACTATTGATGACACGGGAATGTCGTCGAGAGGCTGTTGTTTTGCAGAATCCATGTTATCGACTGCTATAGACGAGGGAGGCATCTCTATGGGGGATGAGACGTCTATAGGTGGAGAAGAAGTAGTCTCCATATATGGGAATATGTGTTCTTGGAACGTCACATCTCTGGAGATAAAAGCGACCTCTTCCTCTAAGTCAAATAATTTCCAACCTTTAGTGCTAGAGGGAAATCCTATAAGAATGCACTTTCGACTTCGTGAAGCAAATTTATCGCCCTTTGTATTCTTATTATGAGCATATGCTAAGCATCCCAATACACGTAGATGAGACATTGATGGAGGCTGGCCATGAAGAGCTTCGAATGGTGTTTTATATTTGAGCAACGACGATGGCGTACGATTAATGAGATGGGCGGAAGCTAAGACACATTCTCCCCAAAATTCAATAGGTAGATTTGCTTGGAAGCGCAAAGCTCGTG